CCCTGCCCCCGTATATAAAGGAGCAAGGGGGGAGGCGGCCGGCCTAGGAGGAGGGCGTGCCAAGGGGGGAGTCCTACTCCCACCGGGAGTAGGACTCCTCCTTCCCTTGTTGGAGTAGGAGAGAAGGAAAGAGGGGGAGAGGAAGAAGGAAAAGGGGGCTGCACCCCTTGTCCAATTCGGACCAGAGGGGGGGGCGCCTCCTTCCTTTTGGTCTCTCTCCTCTATTCCCATATGGCCCAATAAGGCCCATATACTCCCCGGCGAATTCCCGTAACTCTCCGGTACTCCTATAAATACCCGAATCACTCGGAACCTTTCCGATGTCCGAATATAGTCATCCAATTTATCGATATTTATGTCTCGACCATTTTGAGACTCCTCGTCATGTCCCCAATCTCATTCGGGACTCTGAACTACCTTTGGTACATAAAAACACATAACTCATAATATAACCGTCATTGAACTTTAAGTGTGCGTACCTACGGGTTCGAGAACTATGTAGACATGACCGAGACACGTCTCCGGTCAATAACCAATAACGGAACCTGGATGCCCATTTTGGCTCCCACATATTCTACGAAGATCTTTATCGGTCAAACCATATAACAACATACGATGTTCCCTTTGTCATCGGTATGTTACTTGCCCGAGATTCGATCGTCGGTATCTCAATACCTAGTTCAATCTCGTTATCGGCAAGTCTCTTTACTCGTTCCATAATACATCATCACGCAACTAACTCATTAGTTGCAATGCTTGCAAGGCTTAAGTGATGTGCATTACCAAGTGGGTCCAAAGATACCTCTCCGACAATCGGAGTGACAAATCTTAATCTCGAAATACGCCAACCCAACAAGTACCTTCGGAGACACCTGTAGAGCACCTTTATAATCACCCAATTACGTTGTGACATTTGGTAGCACACAAAGTGTTCCTCCGATAAATGGGAGTTGCATAATCTCATAGTCATAGGAACATGTATAAGTCATGAAGAAAGCAATAACAACATACTAAATGATCAAGTGCTAAGCTAACGGAATGGGTCAAGTCAATCATATCATTCTCCTAATGATGTGATCCCGTTAATCAATTGAAAACTCTTTGTCTATGGCTAGGAAACATAACCATCTTTGATTAACGAGCTAGTCAAGTAGAGGCATACTAGTGACACTCTGTTTGTCTATGCACTAGTAGAAAACGGAGCTTTAGCGCGGGTTCGTAAGGGCCTTTAGTGCTGGTTCCATAACCGGCACTAAAGGGTGGGCACTAAAGCCCCCCCCCCTTTAGTACAGGTTCGGCACGAACCGGCGCTAAAGTGCCACCACGTGGCGTGAGCTCGCGCCCTGGTATGGGGGACCTTTAGTACCGGTTGGTGTTACCAACCGGTACTAAAGGTTTTTTTTTGAAATTTTTTTTTATTTTTTTTCGATTTTTAATTTTTCTGAATTATTTGATGATTTAGTCTCTAATCACCTCTCTTAACTGCTCAAGTGTGGATCACTCATTCTAAATCATCTAACTTCCCGACCGGTCACCCATCCCTCTCACTACTCTAGCCCGAGCACGCTTAACTTTCAGGTTCTATTCTCCTTCGCTTCCGACTCTGCACTTGTTGTTTTCCTGATAATAGTAAGATGTCAATCCTATTAACTCTCAGGAGTTTAGCTTGAGCATGAAGTCACACATTTCATCGTTTGAGTTTGAAACTATTATTCTAAAAAAACAGTAATTATTTAGTAACGCTAATATTTCTTGAATAAGTTTGACCATAGTTTGACCACAATTTGACCATAGTTTGACCAGATTTGACCAAAATTCAAAAAAATTGAAATAATTATTTAGTAACACTAATATTCTTGAATAATTATGTAGTAACATTAATACTTCTTGAATAAGTAGTTTGACCAGATTTAACCAAAAAATTTAAAAAAACTGAAATTTAACCATATCTTTTTTTCCTTTTGGAATTTGAGGATTCTAAAAAATTCCAAACAGGCCATAGGCGGTCTCCATCGGATGCGGATTTTCGTGCTGAATTTTTTGATATATTATACATTTTCTTCCGACATCGTATGCAAAAGTTATAGCCGTTTTACATTTTCCCTACACTTTTTGAAAATTGCCCTATAGTGCCAGTTTGTGTCACAAACCGGTACTATAGGTCAGACCCCTTTAGTACCGGTTCGTGCCACGAACCGGTACTAAAGGTTAGACCTTTAGTACCGGTTCGTGCCACGAACCGGTACTAAAGGTGATCGTGGGGCCCCGGCCTGACGCCAGCCTGCCACCACCCCTTTCAACACGAACCGGCATTAATGCAAATCCGTTCGAACCGGCACTAATGGTATCATTAGTACCAGGCCAAAATTAAACCGGCACTAATGTGCTTCACATTTGACCCTTTTTCTACTAGTGATGTATTCACACATGTATCATGTTTCCGGTTAATACAATTCTAGCATGAATAATAAACATTTATCATGAAATAAGGAAATAAATAATAACTTTATTATTGCCTCTAGGGCATATTTCCTTCATGATGATCTTGTTAGATCGGTTTTCTTGCCAACTGATGCAGAGGCAATCTTGAGAATTCCAGTATGCACAAGCAACGTTGACGACTTTTGGGCATGGCATCCGGAGAAGAAGGGAAGGTTCTTGGTGAGCTCAGCTTATAAGTTCATGATTAAAACGAAGATCACCAGAGAGAACTGGCTCGAAGATAGGAGTGGATCTTCGAGTAATGATAGAGAAGAACATGATTGGACCTCGCTTTGGTCCCTGACAGTACCATCCAAAGTCAGGGTTTTCTGTGGCGTCTCGCCCGACACTCTCTGCCGACAATAGACGTCCTCAGCCGGAGGAACATGGCTACTCGTGATGCGTGCCCACTGTGTGGCTCTCCCGATTTGTGGAGGCACGCGCTTGTGTCATGTTCTACGGCTCGCTGCACCTGGGCGTTGTCTGATCTTGTTCTCGTTGCGAAGATGGCGGAGAATGGCGATGCAAGTGCCAAGAACTGGTTGTTTCGCATGAATGAGGATTTGGATCACAAGTTATTTACAAAGCTGGTTGTGACTCTATGGGCAATATGGTATGCCAGAAGGAAGGCCATCCACGAGGGGATTTTTCAGTCCCCAATGCAAACTTCTTCGTTCATGATGTCTTATATCAACGAGCTGCAGCAGCTTGAAAAACCTGTGAATGATCATATACAGACTGCAGCGACGAGTCGAGGGACAAGGAGATGGCTAGCTCCACCAGAGGGGATGGTGAAAATCAATGTTGATGGAGCAGTTGCGCGACATAAACGTGGAGGGGCAGTTTCTGCGGTGTGCTGAGACCAGACGGGACTATATCTGGGTTCTTCGGCGGCAGTCTTTCGAGGCATTACCGATCCCACAACACTGGAAACTTTCACTTGCAGGGAGGCGTTGGCGCTGGCTCTGGATCTTCATCTGACAAACATGAAGGTCGCTTCGGACTGCAAGGGCGTGGTACTGGACATAAACGAGGGGACGGGTGGTCCGCATTCAGCTATTGTACATGAAATAACGCAACGGAGGAGCTCCTTCGATTTAGTCTCTTTTGTTTTTGAGAGTAGAAACAACAACTTCGAGGCTCACAATCTCGCCAAGTTGGCTTGTAATTTAGATGTAGGTCGACATGTTTGGTTGGGAATCCCCCATGACCAGACTCGTGTACCTATGAACATTTCTATCATCTAATAAAGTGGCGAGATTTCTTAAAAAAATAATAATAATGCAACTACGTTTTTCGGGCTCGGAGATGTAAAAAAGCAATTGTTTATACATCTACATTATTTATCGAAGATGCTCTTAGTGTTCCGGACTCCAATCCATCAAAATATTAGACGTTTTGAGTTCAATTGTTATGTAGGAGTACTTGTCTCTGATTTAGTAAAGGGAGTAGGTGTTTTTTTCCTTTTGGTTTCGGCAAGGGCACCTCCTACTACCTGTCTCAGCCTCTCAGGCCTATCAGCCATTGGCCCTAGTAACCAAACCACCGAGCCGCCGCCGTCGCCCGCCGAGGCACCGCCTCCGACGAATCCCCACCCACCGTCATCCTGGTACCATAAAGTCCCACCTCCACTTGCCCTTCAGCGACCGCTGTCTGATTCCCGGTTTACCGCATCTGACGACGAAGGCGACGGAGGCCAGGCGAATCCCCACCTCGCCGTCACGCTCTGTCTCCTCGTTGTTCGCCGAACTGTGATCTTGAGCTCGCTACTCTCTGCGGGTTAGTTCTGTTGTTCGATCTCTCGGATTCGGTTCAGTCCTGCGGAGGAGCGCCAGCACTCGGATTTCTTGCGGCAACCCGTTCGATTCAAAGTCGGAACCTTTTCTGGGAGTGGCCTTGTCGGAGTCCAATTTCCGGCAGAAGGAGACATCCATAAGTACGCCCAAGAGCCTGCCTGGCCGTGCCCTCCGTGTGCCCCATCCAGGATTGCAACCTTCCAACGACCAATTGTTCTTCTGAAAGTGCCGATTTATCTCCAATGGGCGGTACCTGTAGCGTATCCAAGGTATCGAGTCCAGCCATCCACAGAAGGAATCTGCGCTCTCTAGTCTTCAGAGTGCTTGGGCTGCTAGGTCTTCTTCCTCCCGGTTTGCCGAAGAAATTCCTCAAAGAAGAGCACATCCATGGACCTCTGACGGAGGCTGCAGTTGCTGGATTGCCAGAGCTGCCACAGGATGTCCTGATGTCCATATTTGCACACCTGGAGATCCCTGACCTGATGCGTGCCTGCTCCTTCTGCTCCTCGTGGCGCTCCGCGTATTCCAGCCTGCGCAACCTTGAGCAGTACCAGCGGCGCCAGACGCCGTGCCTCTTATACACATCTGAATCTGCTGGTGAGAGCGTACAGCCTCGTGGAGAAAAGGTCATACAAGTTGACTCTCCCGGAGCCACCCATTCGCAGTAGGTATCTGATCGGGTCCTTGAATGGCTGGCTGATAACTGCAGATGAGAGGTCCGAGATGCATATTGTCAATCCCATCACATCTGAACAGATCGCTCTCCCCTCGGTGATCACCATCGCGCAAGTGACACCAGTTTTCGATGAAACAGGTGCCTTATGTAAGTACATTTACTCTCGGGACACGGCGGAGCACCGTAGTACCACTGATCCTCAAGCCGTTGATCTTGGCGAGCTGCCACAATACCTCCAGAAAAAGGCATTTGTATTTTATGATGCATCCACAGGAGGCTACATCGTGGTGCTTATTCATGATCCAGATGGCCAACTCTCATTTGCTTGGTTAGGGGATGACAAGTGGACCTGGCTGAAACCACGTTGTTTTTTTCAAGACTGCGTGTACAAAGATGGTATGTTATATGCAGTGGCATCGCTAGGAGAAATTTACGCCTTCGATCTCAAAGGCCCTGTGGTCGCAACGAAGTTAATTGCAGCCTGGGCAGATATCTTCAGTTGTCCAACATTTTACATTGTTCATGCTCCATGTGGGGATCTGATGCAAGTTTTTAGATCCCAACATGTGGTTGACTGTGATCCATGTGCTGACACTGCAACGCATGTCCACTATACCTCTAAGATCAAAATATTTGAAGTTGTGACTATGCCTGAAAAGGATGTGGGAATAAATAGCTTGAAGGATCATGTGTTGTTGGTTGGCCAGAACCAATCACTTTGTCTCTCTGCTGAAGAATATCCACAGTTGAAGGCAAACAATGTGTATGTTACCGATGACCACAAGTATCTAACTTTTTACAAGAATAACCGGCGTGACATTGCAGTTTTTGACCTGGCAAATAACAGTAGTGAGGAACTTGTCTCCCCTCCACTTTGGTCCAACTGGCCTACTCCCATATGGATAACACCTAGTCTTACAAAACCGTATCCAACATTGGATAATCTATGAGTTTTTCTTCATGTCCAGATAATATAATTGTATAGCAGATGATGTAATGCAAATGTTTTATATGGAAAAGGGAATAAATTATGATCATTGATTGGAGGACATTGCAGTTGGTGAGAGTTAAGGGTTAAAATCCAGCTCTAAGGTCTGCATCAAATGCTGCATGTTCCTCTGTTGCTTCAAATGGGTGGCATGTGTAATAGATAAGCTTGAAATGTATATGTTTTTTCTTCCAATGCACCTTAGTAGCTTGTTTATGTATATTATACTGTGGGGCTTTGTTTTGACAATGCTGCATATTACTCTGGCACTTGCCTCTTATTCATCAAGGTGGAGACTAAACGACATTTTGGCCTATGGAGAATCTAGGCCTGTAGATACAACTGTACAGGAATTGTTCTGAACAAAAGCCTCCGGTGAATGGAAACGCAGATGACCTTGAACAGATTTGGATAAGATGCATTGAAAACTGTCACTCCAGCACATTGCAACAGATGCTTTTTGACCATGGTAAACTGGTATAGCTCGGGCAATGTGAAGGTGAACATATCTTGTGTTATTTTCCCCGGTTTGAACATGGATCAAACTGAAATGGGTTCCTTATCATGTATACATTGCTGTTGAACTACTTGTAATGTTTCTCGCCAAAGATAAATACACAGAGCACATTGATCAGTTCTTTTATTGTATATTGTTTCAACATATCTATTAGTTTGATCTTGAGACATATCGCACCTATTTGGCAGAAGTGCATCAGACACAATTTCTCTCTTGTTTGGCCTTGGCCTCCAGCTTCTTAGCTGGAGCCACATCCACTAGGTTACAGCTAGCTTCACACATACCTTAAAAAATAATGCTAGTTTTGCTATAAAATGGGCTGAATAATATGCGCAAGTCATTACCAGATAGGGAAGTATTTCTAACAATTGCAGCTTCTTAAGAAGAATATTAACATCAAATTCTGAAAATAGAATGTGGACACCATATCAAGAGACATCCTCAGCATCCATCTTCTTATATATGTAGTTGAAGGTGCAAAGTTCCATCTTTGTAAAGTGTGAGCTTTTCCTGGAATTTTAATTATATAATATTGCTCACCATAGTGAATTGTCTAAATTGCTGCTTCAATGTAAGCCAAATGAGTGCAAACTAGATACTCGACCGAGTATTGTGGGTTAAGGTCTTGTGTGGTTTTTCTTC